AGTGCTGGGTAAAATAGGGACAAACCCAGCATTTTTTAGAGTGTAATATTTTTGTTAATGTTAGTTATGGAAAATTAACCTTATTTTAAATTGTTTCCAGTGAAACTATAAAAAAAATATAGGTGCTGCTAAGTCACATTATAAATTAAACACAAACAGCAAGAATAATTACATCTGGTATTCCTGCACAAAAAAAATAATACAGTTTTGTTTGAACACTTCTGTAGCATACAGTAACATTACTGTTTTCAATTTTCAGTAGATGGCAGCAATGTTCTACTAAACTATAGCCCTTTCTAACATTATCACCACGAATTAAACTGAGAAACTGTACATCTTTAAAGTGAATTTTACATAAAATGTTGCTATTTTTAATAAGTCCAGTTATATACAAACATGACTAAATTAGCCAATTCAAATTAAAAATACCATAAATGCCCAAATACTACACAACTAAAGCATAAAAATATTATTAAAACGTGTTATCATAACCTTATTTTAAATTGTTTCCAGTGAAACTATAACAAAAATACAGGTGCTGCTAAGTCACATTATAAATTAAACACAAACAGCAAGAATAATTACATCTGGTATTCCTGCACAAACTAATACAGTTTTGTTTGAACACTTCTCTAGCATACAGTAACGTTACTGTTTAATCTTAAAAATAAATCTGAAGTGTTTAATTTCCAGTAGGCAGTAATGTTCTACTAAACTATAGCCCTTTCTAACGTTACCACGAATTAAACTGAGAAGCATACATCTTTAAGTGAGTTTTACATAAAATGTTGCTATTTTTAATAAGCCCAGTTATATACAAACATTACTAAATTAGCCAATTTAAATTTAAAAATACCATAAATACCCAAATACTACACAACTACTGTATAGCGTAAAAATATGATCAATCTGGTATTCCTGCACAAAACTAATACAGTTTTGTTTGAACACTTCTCTAGCATGCAGTAACGTTACTGTTTAATCTTAAAAATAAATCTGAAGTGTTTAATTTCCAGTAGGCAGTAATGTTCTACTAAACTATAGCCCTTTCTAACGTTACCACGAATTAAACTGAGAAGCATACATCTTTAAGTGAGTTTTACATAAAATGTTGCTATTTTTAATAAGCCCAGTTATATACAAACATTACTAAATTAGCCAATTTAAATTTAAAAATACCATAAATACCCAAATACTACACAACTACTGTATAGCGTAAAAATATGATCAAAACGTATTTTCATGTGACACGAAAAATATGGGATCTCTGGAACTCCAGACATTGTTATTACCCTTTTTTAAACTTTCTAGACTAGGCAAGCACAAAGTTTGTTCACAAACTTTTATCTCATCTAGTTTATTTATATGATCATCATTCATTACATCACATTACCTCTGTCTTTGTCTTTCTTCTTCTTCTCTTCTTCCCCTCTAGTTCTGATTAAGTATTAACCCATCCTACCCTATCAAATATAATTTGGACATTTCTAAAGCCTCTAAAATCACAACTTTGCTGAAAAACCTGATGTTCACATGCCTTCTGCCATCTGATAGTTTATGCTTTTTAGCAAGTAAAAGGCCTTTTGGTATTTATGTACAAACGTCCCACTTCAGGTTGTTGCTAACCTTTTTTTCTTTACAGATTTTTATGAAATAAATGTAAGAATAACTTTTATATTGTTAGTAATATTCTAAGATGAATACTTAATGGACTGAAGCAACTTAGGTTTACTTGATTATCCATACATCTTTTTGTTCATATTAATATCAAATATGATACATCAGGGCAGGCTTTTGAGGAATGCTGATTTGTAGCTACATCTCTTAAAGCATTATTGTATTGCATTTATATGTTAGATTCAAATAATAAACTTAAATAATAAGTAATTTGTAAAAAAATGTGTTATTGCATCCATCATATATTTCAAGCAGATTGTGTAGCCTCGATTCTCAGAAATAGTTTATAACGTAGTTCGCAGTGCCACAAATGTTCCTATAGATGGCGCCATTTGTTTTCATTTCAACCACGTTGACTCCGTCGTGGAGCGTTTGACCAAAGGTTTGACCTCCCACTCAAATCTAAAAATGCAATTTAGCAGATTCTGACTACATTCGTTTTATTACTTATTGTGAGAAATCAACATTTGACAACCTATACACGCCGAACTAGACCAATATGATTCCTGAACGAATGACTACATTCTCAAATAATCAAATAATGAAGTTATTGCTTTCGTCATGCACGATACTAATATTAGCTACTAATATAGTAGCTTACGCTTATGATATTTAAAATAGTTACAGGCCGGTTGTTCGCGTGACAGCATGTTATGATTATGACAGTTATTTTGAGGGATATTTTATGTAAAAAAAAATAAATGATCTATATATAGCCTATAGTTTCGACCAAAGTCCCTCTACACAAAAAAAGACATATGTGGACTACAGAATTAAATGGTTATTTTTATTTTGATCATTGGACCCTATTGGCTTAAGTTTGTCAGTTATTTAAGTAGGTTATAATTATCATCAAGCTATAAAGCGGTGCAATTATGCTCCTGTTACTTTTCTCAGCGCTGGTCAGGATGAGCCAATCGGCTCTGCGTCTTCTAGCGCCCTCTGTCTCATAACCACTAACCGCTAGCTAGCAGCGTTTGCTGGATAGCTTCTAGCGGAAGTGGAAGTGGTCGAGTTTCATATCAACAATGGCGTCGCAGCAGTTGGTTAACAGTGCTCAGATGGGCGTTCAGCAAGCGGCTGGTTTACAGCAACCTCAACCTCAACAACAGCAGCAGCAGCAGCAGCTCAGTCAACAACAAGATTTTGATCCCGTTCACAGATTCAAAATGCTGATTCCTCTGCTCAAAGATAGTTTACAGGTTTGTTTTGGTGCCTTTCATTGAACATGGGAGCTGAAAGTACGGGTTTGAAATAGAATACTAACATTAATTTATAATTGTATGTTTTCAGAACGTAATGGCCATTGCTTCACTACATTTTGGACACAATGCAGCTATTGACAACGGCTTAAAAACAACAGAGTAAGATTCCCCTATTATTATGTAAATAACATGGTACATGAATATGTATGTATGCTGTATATATGTACATGTCTGTCTGTTCTGTCTATTAATGTACATAAATATTTTTGGAACTATTTCGAAGCCTGTTTTTGCCACAGAAAAAAAAAATCAGACAATTGCAGACTTTTTAATCTCAAAATTCTGACTCTTTTCTTGCAATTGTGGGGAAAAAAATGGGCAGAATTCTGAACTTTTCTCGCAATTATGACATTATATCTCACAGTTCAGACTTTTTCTCAAAATTCTAAGTTTAAATCTCACAATTCTGTTTTTATTTCCTCCGCTGAATGAAAAATAAAAATGTAATTGACGTTTTTTTCTCACAATTCATACTTCTCAGAATTGTGAATTTATGTCTCACAATTCCAAGTTTTTTTTTTTTTTAAGAATTGTGAGCTATAAACTCAGAATCGCAAGAAAAATAGTTTTTGAATTGTGAGATAAAATGTCTCAATTTTAATACTGTGACAGAAATAAGCTTCAATAGAAAGATTTCTGGATGCTTAAACCAAGAAATAATATTTAAAAAAATATATTTCACCTCTCAAAATATAGGAAGGGTAATGATGCAGCAGTTCAGCGATTTGACAAAAGTTTAGAGGAGTTTTATGCTCTCTGTGATCAACTGGAGCTTTGCCTGGTAAGCACCTTCACATTCACATTCAAAGACCTTGTTTGATTTCGATTAACATTGACGTTTATTTTTTCAGCGGCTGGCCCATGAGTGCCTGTCGCAGAGCATCGACAGCACAAAGCACTCTCCAAATCTCGTACCTACAGCCACCAAGCCGGACACAGTGCAAACAGAGTCTCTGTTTTACTCTCAGTATCTCAGTATGATAAAATCACAGATTTCATGTGCTAAAGACATTCATAATGCTCTCTTAGAGTGTTCAAAAAAGATTGCTGGGAAGGTTCAAGGAGCTTGTAATTAGTAGCTGCCAACTGTATTTAGTTTGCTTTTTTATTTGTATTTTACATAGCTTTGATGCTGATTGAAGAATGTATTTTTTTGTATTTTCAATTCCTTTTGTTTGTTTACTATTGTGACAAATGTACTCGTACAATTAAATTGATATATTCTTGAAAAGAAATTTGTGTGTGTGTGTTATAAAATACTTTTTTGATCTAACAAGCTACTTATGGGTCCTGTTCAATTGCAAAAAATATTTTAGTATTATTATTTATACACTATGGTTAATTAATATTATTCAGTAGTATGTATTCATATTTATAATTAGCTTTTATTTTATTTTTAAATTTTTTGTAATTTTATGTTGTCATTTTTATTAGTTTTTTATATTCTGTTTAGCTTTAAACTACATTTTATTTAAATTTTTGTTGTAGTATTTAGCATTTCAACTTTTATTTTATTTCAGTCATTTGCCAAGGCATTATATCATAAGTTTTACATTTTTTTATCCAATAATTATATTTAATTTCAGCTTTATTTGAGTTATCGAAAATTATTTTGAATGATTTACGTTTCAGCATTAACCACACTCTTTTGTGGGTTAGCACTTTTACTGTACTCCATTCATGCTTCTCTTTTAAATTCTGTAAAATCTGCATTTTTTTCTCCAATAAATATGTGAATAGAGATCATTTGATACCAACTTACTTTTGAGTGGATTATACAATTCAATAGATCACTTATCACGAAGCAGCCTCTTTTCATTGATGACCTGCACTCTTAAGGGCTCACTAAAATGGGAAGAAAACGAGTATAATCTGTATAATAAGAAATCATGGGATTACGATTACAACATTTTTGTTTACCAGTTTGTTGTATCAATTGATTCCCTTGTAATTTCATATTTTTCCTTGAGAGGCGCTAGAAATCCCTCACACTACTTGTCAAAGAAAAGAGAAGAAGTCGTTCCGGGCTCTGATTGGTCGAGCCGTTGCTCAGCGGTATTATGTTTGTTAATGCAACTGTCAACAAAGTATGATAACTTTGATTCGTTAATAACATTATTTAGTACACTCTCGATGTGAGGAATGAAGAATAAAAAGGTGAAACCCTCAAAGGGTGTAAGCAACCGAAAAAGAGGTAAGTTACATTTGTTTGGAGGTTGTATTTGTCGCAAATCCGAAAGTCTTTTAACCTCGTAACCTTTGCGAGGGCTAAACCTGCTTCTACCTACATAAAGCATTTGAGGGCTCACTGCATTTTGAGACAGCCGAAGCGAAGACTAATGTTAAATTGTTGTTGGCTGCGCGTGGATTATTAGGTGAAAAAAATAAACAGCTGTATTCCAAATATTGAAAGTTAGGAAACGCTGTTTGATCTCATGTCTTTCTTATTGTCCACATTCTGCAGTGCTCAGTGATGTGTCTCCATCCACCAGCATTCCTCCTCTGGTGGAGGGTCAGCTGAGATGTTTTCTGAGAGTGACAGTGAGTAAAGTGCTGTGGACCATCACCAGACCTCCTCCTGTGACTCTGATCAGGCTCAGATGGTGGGGAGAGTCTTCCAGTGGCACCTTCTTCAGGCCTAGAGATGGACATGTTGAACAGAAAGGGGTAAAATCGACTGCCCGCTTTCCAGTTCGATGTGGACCCAAACAGCTGACTTCTTATTTGACAGGTTAGAGCGCTATATAGTTGATGGTTGATTATTGGCAATTCCTTTTTAGAGAGGCATATTTAACCTTCCATACTGTCCGTATGGGTTTCAGTGGGTCTTAAAAAGTCTTACTTTTGTCTTTGTTGAACCTGCAGAAGTCCTAAATTTATTAATGTGTTGCATAACTGAATATAATATTTCTTTGTTCACAGATATGGGCTCATTGGTGCTGGATGTGCTTACAAAGGTTGATCATTTGCCTATAGCTCGAGCTCAAATCCCTGGGATCGCCCGGCTTTCTTTGTCTCACTCCATAAATGGATATTTCACTCTTGTTTCCCCGTCATCAGAAAAACTTGGAGAGCTACAGGTGGGTGAGATGCTCAGCAGAATTCACATTTATTCAGCTGATCAAATTTACTGTGAATATGTTTTAGGTTCTCAGTTTAACTGTATTCTGTTCATTTTGACCCAGAGAGGAATTTCTTTTTTTTTTTTCTTTTTTTTTGTGTGAAAAACTTAATGTTATCGCATTGGAGTCAAACTTACTGCACACAGGGTATAGTAATTCCCCAAAAATAACTGCTTAATTTTTGTACTTTTTTGAGTATTTTTTCCCCACCTTGTTACATGGTGTTCCCAGTCAAAAACAAAATTGCCTGCAAAAACGTGCTTAAATCTCTCATAATGCTACATTCTAACCAAATATTGTATTCAATCTCTTTGTCATCTTGTTTTCTTTCAATTAGCACTGTGTTTTGTATTTCATTTTGGAACTGAGTGATCATAGGTCTTATTTATCTGAGCTAATGCACCTCCGTTTGTGAGAGAACATTGCCATAATTATCCACAAATATTTTTTTTCCCCACTCAAAAACTGAGGTACATAAGTTCTGGGAATTTGGACTGGGAACACCAAATTAGATAAAGGATTTTGAGCACAACACACGGGTTAATTATGTGTTGTTTCACGTGTACCGTAGGTCACACTTGCCCTAGAAGCGTTAACAGAGGGATATGACAGCAGTAGTTCAGTACCCACGACTGATATGAGCCTCGACGCACAGGCTCCTGGAGTAACAACTGACCAGAACATGCCTGCACATTCATCCATGGATCAGGCTCTCCCGAGTGTGAAGGAGACAGCTGGCAGCAGCTCTGGCCACATGCCTAGGTTTGTTTTTATATTTTGGATGGTTTGAATGTTGAATGAGTAATGTGAAACAAACTGTCATTAGAGCATTAATTTCACAACACTCATCCTTATGACTGATCTTGTAATTAGTTGCAGACTTGACTGTGGTCTATGAACGGACAAGTTAAATTAAAATACTAAAAATTTTGGATAAAATGTCTTAAGTAGTCTTACTAAAATTTTTGTTTTAGGTGAAAAATGTTTTAAGTAGTTCTATGTTCATAGTTCTTCCCTAGTGTTGTTTTAGTATTATTTATATAATATTTATTATTATTATTTCTATTCATTATCTATTAACTATGTTATTACCTTTCTAATATTATTATTTTAATATGAATATCTCCTTAATAATAATAATAATAGTTGTTTACTAAATAAATGCTATTTATTAATAATCTTTCTTAATGTTTAAATTAATTTGTTTTCAGTTTTCATTTTAGTTTAAGTGAAGTTATGTGCTTATGTCATTTGTATTTTTTCAATATTTGTATTTAGCTTTACTCAATTTTAAACCATTTTTAATTGTAGTAATTTTAGTACTGTAACTTAAAGTTAATTTCTTTTAGTTTCTTTTTTTTTTTTAAGTTCTAAGATTTTTCATTTTAATTCAATAAACATCAATAATAAAACATTGTTTTTGTCCAATATTCTTGTTTTAGAGGGAAGGATTACTTGTATTTTCAAGAAAACAATAACGTCATACCAGATTCTTCTACTGGAAAACCTAAACCTGCTACCACCCAAACTCTTTCAGCAAATAGCCACGCACCTGTTAACCTTTTGTCAGGTAAACCTCATTAACTTGATTTACTGAATTCATTATATTGACTTCACTGTTGAACACAGCAACATTTTGGCTGAAATACTTTGTGTCATAGATGATTTCTAAGAACTGGTCAAATTAAAGAACTGTCTGTCAATCACAATCTGAATATTGCCAAATTCTGCTGATTGATCTTGAGTTCTTTTTAAACTTCAGTTAATTCTGTCAGTTTTAAAACCTTATATTGTGTCAGTACAGCACTATAGAGCCCTGCATTTCAGCCCGGGCCTGACGGGCCCCGATTTTGTTTTACGCCCCTAGGGCCGAGCTTCTGGCCAATTTTCATGTCATAGTTCAGACACGGGCTGGGCCTCGGGCCTGTTTTAGGCTTCTCCATATATTTATATTATAGACATCCATCAATTAGTGACGAAAAAAATTTGCCTCGCTGGTGGAAACAACACGAGACCGTGCTACCACGACTCAAGAGCTGCTCGGACGGTGTTTACTGTTTAGTGTTCTGCAGCAACAGCGAGCTTGCCGACAGCACAGCTGAAGAGTTCTGCGTTCAAATGCACGCAATAGGCTAAAGCTTGCCGCAAAGCACCAGCAAAAGTAATTACCATGAATGTGTCAGGGGGAAATAGTAAGGAGATGTTTGAATTATTTACTAATAAACTCGTGTTTTCTGAGTCTGTGTCAAGGATGAAGGATGAAGTTGCCGATCCTGACTCGCCATCTCCTCATTAGACGCACCTTTAGAGAGAAGTGCATCTTTACTCTTTACGATTATAATGAAAGAGTTTTCAATTTGTCTTACCTTTATGAGCAAAAATGACAGCGTATTTTAAGTTGTTTGCAGTGAAAAAAAATGCAAGTGATCACGCTGGCACCTCCATGTCCTGCAAAGCGCACTTTAGCTTCCACTCTCCGCACAAACGCTTGGATATGCGTCTAACTGCGCACATTTATCTAGGTTTAATGTTTAAACATTGTTATATGCTTGGAACTGTTTTATATCTATAGATTTTATTTTAGGCAAGTCTGGCCGCTTGGTCGTTACTTTAAAAAACAAAAACATATTTAACGAACAAAAAATGCTCCAAACTTTTTTCTAAATTAACTTAATAAAAAAACGAAACGAAATATAATCACTTTGCCATTACATACAAAACTGAACTATT